ATTCTTTGCTGCAATTCTTTCTTGCAGAAGTTCTTAGTGAAACAAAGTAATAAACTATTCCTTTATCCATTCAATGAAATTCTTAAATTTTTGTAAGAGCCACCACCTTCTTTGATGTAATTCGAGACCATTTCTTGAGAGTTAGAGCCTTTGCTTTGTGCATTTCATTATCCAACAGTTGATCAACCTTGCTCTTGATTCTTGTCGCTAATGATCCCTTTCTCATCCTGATTTAATCCCAAACCAACACTCCAAATTTCACAAATATAGCTTCAGTTGAGGAACTGATCAGCAAAGTAAGGCCAGTTCAGGAAGGTATCCCATTGCTTACACCATCCATATTGCAGTTCCAACCACTGTGGCTTATGAAACAAGCAATAGAGGATGTCCTAGAATTTTTCTGAGGTGCCTAACTAACTCTGTTCCAGGAGTGGCAATTCTGTCTCAGAATCCCTCGGGATAGGCACCATTCGTGTCATTAGTAATATCCGGGCGCACAACCCAGGGGAATGGTCTATTGGAGAGTTCAACTCCAAGGCTAATTCTTGAACTGGATTTGGTCAAAATCATTAAACTGCCAAATGCAATATATACGAGAGACTGAAGTGGTTGTAATCAAGCCATTCAAACAAGTAAGTCTTCTGGCTGGGTGCTTCCTGTCGAATCTCCAAGCATATTGCTGGGCAAAGAGGCCTATTGGTATGATCTTCGGATCCATATAAACGCGCAGGCTCGAGGTCATAAGTTGAATTGAGAATTATTTTTTTTGATCTGTTGCTTCTAACCATATCTTCAAACAACATTTTCTGCACTTTCATGTTTCCAGGGTAGGCCCACCTGGATGTTCTGTACTCATGGCAGGCATGTTTGGTGAAAACTGAAACATCTGTTTTTGTTGGAGTGCCTGCAGAAGAAAATCTCAACCCAAATGAAGTACAGAACAGGCTACCAACTGTCAAAAATCTTTATAGGTTCACTCCAGTTTCAAGTCCTAGTTCTACTTAGAATTTTTCTGAAGGCATCAAAATGTAAAATCAGTATTTTGTATTAAAAACATTTTTTGCATCTCTGGATTAACTGAAACCGTCTAAAATTCCCTATATTTAGGAAGAAAACCGGTTGATGCCTCACTTTTATGGTGCTCCATATGCTTTTAAATACTCAGAAATCTCTTATGACAGCCAACAGGAATATATCTCACAGTGATTATCTATAATTTTCTCCAATCAACTTCTGGATGCTAGATCTTAAGACTAGGCACGCAGCTGCAGCAGGGTAGAAGATGCCCCCCTAATTCCCTTCTCCACCGCAATGCCCATGGCCATCCGATTAGGTGGTCTGCTAGAATACAAGTGATCTTATATTATCTGAGCCATTAATATCTCAATGAGGTCCTCAACTTCTGGGCATAAATCTGTAAGACAGCTTCAACGGCTCTGGTTGATCCTCTGTGGTGTTTTGGGCCTAACTCCTCACCCACAAGGTTTTATTGAGTGGGAGATTACCACTCTTATAAACCCATTGGCTGGGGATGCTTAGTCGATGTGGGATCTCCAACAGTCACCCTCACGGTCAAGCCCATAGGTCTACTTGCCCTTATTGGTGGGAGGATTGTCCACCTTATAAACCTATTGGTTGAGCGTACTAGTCGATGGGGATCTCCAACACTCTCCCTCATAGTAAGCCCATATAGTCCATTTGCCTATGAAGGAGGTAGTTGGCAGCCACCGTTGGTCAATCACTCAGCTCAAATGGGGCTGGCTTTGATATCACTTGTTAGTTTGGGTCTTAACTCCTTACCCAAAATATCTATTGAGTGGAAGGATATTCCACTCTTATAAACCTATTAGCTTGAACGTGCTTAGTAAATAAGAATCTTAACACTCATCTCTAGAGATTCCATCCTAGATGAACCAAAACATGATGAATCTGATTCCCAGTACAATTCTTCGTCGCAAATGCATTCATTATCTGCTATGGTTATAGTCTGTAATTACAAGTAATTTTAGTGCCATGTATCACGGGCACTGTGAAAGCTCTATCAAAGGAATCACATGACCCTGCTTTACACAAGATATAGCCAAAACATGTGGGTCTCCATTTGGTTCTTTGCATATTCTTCTTAAGATTATCAATTTATATAGGGAGATGACCGAGTAAAAATAAATCTCAATCTTTGGTCCCATCCTTCAAATTCCTTGTTGCTCATAAATTTTAATGTTTAGCTTTTGTCATTGTCTGATGTTTTCAACATGGTTGCCGGACATTGATTAATTCCCAGTTTAAAAGTTATTTTCAATGCTTTCATCATCAGAAAAGAAATTTACTGATAGCTTTTGGATGCAAATGCAAGCAGACCAAAAGGAAACCATTTTATTTGTTGAAAATTGCAAAATAACCTTAGACAAATTACTATATGCAATCTGACAAGAAAGTTGGAGTACTTACTTATTCCTTTATCCATTCAATGAAATTCATAAAATTTTTGTAAGAGCAACCGCCTTCTTTGATGTTATTGATGACTATTTCCTTGAGATGCAAAACCCTTGTTCTGTACTCCGCATTATCTAACAGTGATCCACTTTACTTCGGATTTCTTCTCTTCTGATGATTCTTTTTTCATCTTTAGAAATGCCAATCCGACCTTCCAAATATCACAAATGTAAGTCCGGTTGAGGAACTGGTCAGCAAAATAAGGCCAGCACAAGAAAGGTAATCCATTGCTTACACCTTCCATAGTGGAGTTCCAGCCACAGTGGCTTAAGAAGCAAGAAATGGAAGTATGCGCAAGAATTTCTGTTGAGGGTGCCAACTAACTATATGCCCACGACTAGCCACTCTATCTAAGAATCCTTCGGGTAGGCATCACTCATGTCACAATAATATTAGGACGCACACCCAGAGGAATGGTCTGTTGGAGAGTTCAAGTCCCAAGGCCAATTCATGAACGTGTTCGATCAAGTAGTTGAACTGCCAATGCAATGTATATCACTGATTGTGGTTGCTGTTGGTCAAGCCATTTGAAACAATTGAAGTCTTCTTGCCAGAAGCTTCCTCCTGTGTCTTCACATCTGCTGCTTGCCAAAGTGGGCCTATTGGTATATATTGGATTCATGTCAAATGCTGCCGCTTCCAGGTCATAAGTTGAATTGCAGAGTATCTGTCTGCCAATTTTCTTGATCTGTTGCATCTAACCATATTATCAAATACCATTTTTGTCAATTTCGTGTTCTTATAGCTGGTCCACCACAAATGGTCTGTATAGGTAGGCATGGTTGGTGACAACTGAAACACTTGTTTCTTTGTTGTTCCTGCAAAAGAAAATATCAAATGAATTAAGCATAGCAGAAAACATTCAACTGTAACATCTTTGGTAACTCCTAGTTCTGCTTATAGTTCTTCAAGGCCAAACAACTGAATTTATGTTGCAAAATTTTTGAACCAAGACTCCTGATATATATAGATAGAAAAAAATTGAGTTGAAGACTGAAAATTGGGATTGTTCCTAAATCTAAACTGTTATCACCGAATATTGTTCTCAAGAATGACCAATACTAGTGTATTGCTTGCAAGAGTTTGTGAAGTGATCTTACCATCATTATTGATAACTCCATCATCTATCAACTTCTGGAGTTAGATCCGAAGACCAATTGTGTGGCTGCTGAAGGATAGAAGACAGCTCCCTGATTCCTTTGCACTGCAATTTCCATGGGCCAGCTATGTAAGTCATCTGTTAGAACACAAGTGATCTTATCACTGTTCGATAAATCAATATTTTCAATGAGCTCCTCAACTTTCCTGGCATAAACTTTAATACTCTTCAACCAACTTCTCAGGTTCTGGAGAATCCAGTCCTACAAAAACCGAAACAAGATGAATTTGATTGTTTTCACCATTCTTTGTTGATGGCACATTCACGATTTTATTGTCTGTATTCACAAACGTAATTCTGATTCCATGTTTGACTAAGCATTGTGAAAGCTCCATTAAAGGACACATGACCCTGCGTGGACAAGGTATAACCAAAACATGTGGATTTCCATTCGTTCTTCACTTTTCTTTCTTGAAATTGATTTCATCATATTAAGATCATTAGGCTTAAAAAAAAAAAAAAAAAAAAAAAACAAAACAAACAAAATTTGAAGAGAGTATTACGTTTCCATATTTTCTTTTGACTTTGCATTAATTATTAGTATCTAATTGTTTGCTTTCATCATATCTAATGCTTCAAACCTCCTGATTCACGTGGGATATTTCAATTGTGCCTACCCATTATGAAAGTTACTTTATGATATTGTAATGACGCCGACAGATATAAACATATAGTTAGTGAAAACTACAAAGCGTGTCCTGACATGGATGTCCTCTCTACAAACATGATACATGTGGATTGAGAATTCAGTAATTACAAACATTCATTTTAATTTCAAAAAAAATTATTTTATTAACTGTGAAGAAGATGCACAGTAGACCGATTGCAAGACACCAGGGAGACAACACTGATGACGTGTCTCCATCCTACAGCTCTCTAACAAATTGATATTTGTGGTTATGATTGTTGTGCTGTCATCTCTCATTACTATTCTTGTCCACCAAGTTTTGTAAATTGACCAGGAAGCGTCATTCTCTCATTACTATTCTTGCCCACTAAGTTTTGTAAATTGACCAAGAGGCGTCATTCTCTCATTATATTCTTGCCCACCAAGTTTTGTAAATTGATCAGGAAGTTTCCTGATTGTTATGTAAATGTGTATAAATTAATTGTTTACAATAATGAAAAGCATCTTCCAGTCAAGCTTAATATTCATTGTCTCTCTCTGCCTCTGCTCTTCTCTTTTTTCTCACTATTACTCATTAAAATATTATAAAAAAAAGAGTGAGTTGAGCTAGCTGGACTTTTCATAGTTTAACAAATGAAGATCTGTTGAGATAACGGCGTCATCAAAGTAAGGCCAGAATAGGTAAGGTACCCGTTAAGTAGTTTAAACTTATATGCCTGAGACCAATAGAAAAGTAACTTGAAACCTCTAAAATGCGCTTGGCTTCTTGAGATCTAGTTCCTTCAGCCATAACACCGGTTCTATTCACTGCAAGGAAACATTATTCATCATAGATTTTCGCAACACGAAGAATATGGTTGAACAATGTGTGATGACCTTATTTATGCCTTCAGCCATTCAACAAAATTCTTGAAATTATTATAGGAGCTTCCAACTTCTTTGATGCTATTCAGCACCCTTTCCTTGAGATCCAAAACATTTGCTTTATGCTTACCATTACCCAGCAGTTCTTCCAGTTTAGTTTTGAATTCTGTTAAAAATCGAAAGAGTAAAACATATATATATATATATATATATATATATAAATAAAGAACAGCAATAACAACACACAAAAGGCACACGATATTTTACGTGGTTCAGTATAACTCATCTACATCCACAGATGAGAGGGTTTTCATTATACTGATATAATACGATACAAATGTTTCATCACACCATCAATCTAGTACCTTTACTTAGGCGGACATCATGTTTCTATAATGTTTAATACCCCTACGGTATTTTCCTGATACCCTGTGGTATCCTTACATCAAAACCCTTTGTATTCTCACATAACCTTGAATACAAAGGGTTTTGATGTAAGGATAATACAAGGGGTTTTAATGTAAGGATAATACAAGGGGTTTTGATGTAAGGACACCTCAAGGTATTGGGAAAATACTCTTTCTTTACTTTTCTCTCTCATAATTTTGAATTGGTTTTAACTCTCCTATTTATAAGTAAAATATGACATTCTTATTCTACTAGGATTCATATTTATATTCTTAATAAAACTCATCTAATTTAAATCATTCTTCTATTTTAATTTAAATAAAGTCTTAAATCAATTCTTCTCTCCTAATATATCTCACAATAGAAAAAGAAAAGGAAAACAATTATTCATAATTACAAATTCCTAAACTATAAATTTACCTAAAACTTAAATTCATTTTTCTTCTTGTTTGCATTTTCTTTTTTCTTGCGTTTTTTCTTTTTTTTTTTTTTAATTACCAAAAAGTGTTCACATTCCAACAAATTCTTCCCGTGTAATTATCCCACTATCGTCTTTGCTTAACTCCAATCCTACCTTTCAAACAATACAAATGTAATTCTCATTGTGCATCTGGTCTGTAAAGTAAGGCCAACACAAGAACAGGACACCATTGCTTATAGCTTCAATGGTGGAGTTCCATCCACAGTGGCTTATGAAGCAAGCAATGGAAGGATGTGCCAAAACCTTATGTTGAGGCGCCCAACTAACTATATGCCCTCGACTCACTACTCTGTTTGTAAATACTTCCGGATAGGCATCATTTATTTTATCTGTGATATCAGGGCGCACGACCCAAAGGAATGGTCTGTTGGAGAGTTGAAGTCCCATAGCTAATTCTTGGAACTGGGTTTTGTCAAAAATAGTTATACTGCCAAAGGAAAAATATAAGACCGACTGTGGTTGCTGTTGATCAAGCCATTTCAAACAAATTAAGTCCTCTTTCTAGAAGCTTCCTGCTGCATCTCCAAATCGGTTGCTCGCCAAAAGTGGGCCTATAGGTAATACTTTTGGATCAAACTTAAATGTTGCAGGCTCAAGGTCATAAGTTGAATTGCAAAGCACCCATTCTGCTAGTTCTGATGATCGGTTGTTTCTAACTGAATTTTGAAAGAAGAGTCTCTACATTTTTGTCTTGCCAAGTCCGATAGATGCTATGTGTGCTGTTTTCATGACCGGCATGGTTGGTGACAACCGAAACATCTCTTTCTTTGGAGTTCCTGGAAAGGAAATCAAATCACAATCAAGCATGGCTCTATCAATTATTAACATCGTTGCTTCAAGTCCAAACTAACATTCATCTTTTCGGTCATTGGATCGAGTAGAATGGTTGAAAAAGACTTGTATAGCCTACTTCAACTAGATGAAAACTATAAATCCTTAATTGAGTTTGACTTACATTGTTTATGATTCAGCTGGAAGTTCAAAGAAGACACAGAACATAACAATAAACCCTTTGGATTATAATCTGAGGCATAATCATTCAATCCCTTGTCTTTACATGCTTTATGACCAAATCCTGTGTGATGCCTTAATTTTATGGTGCTGTATCTGCTGTGTCAGGCACTCGGAAACCGTCAGTTTTTCAGACGTACCCTGTATTTGTGCCAAATCTCTTGTGAAATTCCTATAATTGCATATGATCTAGAACTGCAATATATATTCAATTAAGCATCAGTTTTCCGTTAGATGAAAATGTTAAGTTTCATCTCTTGGCATCATATCAAATTATACTGCTACTAACTTACAAAAGTGACAGATGATCTTACCATCTTCATCAACAATTCCATCATCAATCAACTTTTGGATGCCAGATCTTAAGAGCATTTGTGTGGCTGAAGCACAATAGAAGGCGGCTGGCTTGATTCTTTTCTCCACCGCAATTTCCATGGCCCATTTAAGAATGGGATCTGAGAGAATACATGTGATCTTATCACCATCTGATGCATTAATCTTTTCAATCAGCTCTCCAACTTTTCTTGGCCTAAGACATGAGACTACTTCAACAAGTTTCTCTGTTAATTGACCTGAAATCTCTGGAAACTCCGGTCCTTGTGGAACCGAAACAAGGTGAATCTGATTCCCTACACCATCCTTCATTGCCAATGCATCCGTAACATGCTTATGTTTGTCATCTGTGTTTACAAATGTAATTCTGATGCCGTGTTTCACCAACCATTGAGATAGCTCCATTAAAGGAATTACATGGCCTTGTGCTGGAAAAGGTATAACCAAAACACAAGGATTTCCCATTTCGTTCTTCACTTTCCTTTCTTGAAATTGATGTCTGTTGGTTTTAGCTGGGATGTAAAGGAAAGAAGAAGTTGAACAGCAAAGAAAAATTGCTGAAGAGCCATGTGTTTTCTCACACTTTTCATTACTTTAAAACTAAAATATATACAAAAGGTTTACATCAAATTATCAACTATTACACCTAATTTTACAGTGATTTTTGTAAGGATTACATCAGCACCACACAATTGTAACTAAATACTAAACGTATAGAGAGTAATGAAAACCAAAATAACAATAAACATACAATCCACAAACAATAAAAAGAAAAAAGAAATACACGCAATTTTACATTGGTTCACCCAATTAACACTTAACATGCTACGTTCAATTAAGTCAATATTATTGTTATACTACCTCACTTCTCTCTTTTGCAATGAATGTAGTTTACCTTATTGTTTGCTATCACCCGTTACAAGAGAAAATATATTTATATACTAGGTTTGAAAGACTAAACCTAGTATTACAACTATTCTTAAGCTCAAACTCAATAAAAAATTAATAATTTAAAGAAATCTTTTAGCGATTCTTCATGGAAAAGGCCCAAACCACCTACGGGCCGAGGGCACTGCCCCTTGCATGCCACCCGCTCATCGGGGAGCAGAGACTCTGACCACTAACCGGGCAGTAACACTTCCAAATGCGTCTGCGTGACCCATTAATACTGAAGTGGTCGACAACTCCAACAAACATAAAATGCAGTTGCATTGATTGCTGCAGTTAACAAAAAGGGCCGACTTAAACTGCATTGTTTTCAGCTCTAATCGCCTACTTCTTCCAGCTTCAATCAGCTGCTATTTCAAGCTCCAAAACACGATATGTGTGGATTGACAATTCGGTAATTTTTAAACATTCATTTTAATTTCAAAAAAAAAATTATTACTCATTAAAATATTTATTAAAAAAAAAAAAAGTGAGTTCAGCTAGTTGGACTTTCATAGTTTAACAAATGAAGCTCAGTTGAAATAATGGCGTCATCAAAGTAAGGTCAGAACAGGATTTAACTTTCTATGCCTGAAACCAATAGAAAAGTAACTTGAAACCTCTGTTTGAGGGACATATACCATCCATCACAATAACCAAGATCAGGTAGGCTTTTTCCCTGAAGAAATATAGGAGTAGAATTGTAACATACCTAACAATCAAAGTTTCTTACAATAAGGCGAAAAAAGATGTCGAAATTTCACATTATCTGATTAGAGATATAAATGTTCTTCAAAAACAAGTAGAAACGGGTAGGTTTATCCAAAGCGAAGATACCGTTCTTCCTCATAGTCCAAGTATCATAATTTCTTGAACAAGTATTGAGCACTCCTGAACTACATGACAAATAAAAACTTTATAGAAACAACTGATACCCAGAATCTTATATAATGAAGTTTTAACGATTTCGGAAGACCTTACTTATGTCTTGAGCCATTCCACAAAATTCTTGAAATTATTGTAGGAGCAACCACCTTCTTTGATGTTATTCATCAAACTTTCCTTGAGATCCAAAGCATTACCTTTATACTTGCCATTATCTAGCAGTTCCTCCAGTTTACTTTTGATTTCTTCTCTTGTAATTATTCCACTTTCATCTTTGCTGAACCCCAATCCAACATTCCAAACATTACAAATGTAATTCTCATTGTGTTTCTGATCTGCAAAGTAAGGCCAACACAAGAACGGGACCCCATTGCTTATGCCTTCCATGGTGGAGTTCCATCCACAGTGGCTTATGAAGCAAGCAATGGAAGGATGTGCCAGAACCTTCTGTTGAGGCGCCCAACTAACTATATGCCCTCGAGGCGCGATTCTGTCTTGTAATCCTTTCAGATAGGCATCATTTATTTTCGCTGCAATATCAGAACGCACAACCCAAAGGAATGGTCTGTTGGAGAGTTCAAGTCCCATAGCCAATTCTTGGAACTGAGTTTGGTCAAAAATAGTTGTACTGCCAAATGCAATATATACGACTGACTGTGCTGGTTGTTGATCAAGCCATTTCAGACAAGTTAAGTCTTCTGGCCAGAAGCTCCCTGCCGAGTCTCCAAATCGGTTTCTTGCTAAAAGTGGACCAATTTGTTTGAACTTTGGATCAGTGTTAAAAGCTGCAGGCTCAAGGTCATGAGTTGAATTGCAAAGCACCCACTCTGCCAATTGTATTGATGGGTTGTTTTTAACAGTGTTTTCAAAAAACAGTCTCTGCATTTTCGATGTGCCAAGCCAGAGAAATCCTATGTGAGCTGTGCTCATGACAGGCATGGTTGATGACAACTGAAACATTTCTTTCTTTGGAATTCCTGGAAAGGAAATTAAAATCAACATCAAAATAAACCATGAAGCTATCCCCTTTTAACATCTTTGCCTTAGGTCCAAACAAGTATATATCTTGTTAGTTCTCGAATAGAGTGATACGATTGAAAAGACACATGTAGCTGACTTCAACTAGATGGAAACCGTTTTACTTTAAATTGCTCATAATTCAGCTGGAAGTTCACACAAGATACAGAAAAATATTACAAACACCTTGAATTATTATGCAAAACATCTCTTTTGGATCTAGTCTACTTTCCCTGTTCTTACTTGCTCTATTGAGAAATCAAGTGTGATACCTCAACAATCAAAATCTATCTGTTTTCATTAAGCACAACTATCAGTTTTTCAAGAAAACTTTGAATTAGTGCGTAATCTTTTTTGACATTCCTATCACTGCATACTGATGTGGAAATATCTAACTTGGGTGTGTCTATATGTGCAGGTATGCATTAGTTTTTTCTCACTTGGATAAAAATGATTAAATAAGTTTCATTTATTAGCATAATATCAAATTATACTACTCTTAACTTGCCAGACTTAGTGATAAATGATCTTACCATCATCATCAACAATTCCATCATCAATCAACTTTTGGATTCTAGATCTTAAGACAAGCTGTGTGGCTGCTGCACAATAGAAGACGGCTCGCCTAATTCCCTTCTTCGCTGCAATTTCCATGGCCCAGTTGAGAACTGGATCTGCCAGAACACAAGTGATCTTATCACTATCTGATGCATTAATCTGTTCAATCAGCTCCTCAACTTTTTTTGGCATTAGCCAGAGGATTGCTTCAACAAGCTTCTCTGCTAATTGACCTGTATTCTCAGAAGACTCCTGTACCAGTGGAATCGAAACAAGATGAAACTGATCCCCCATACCATCCTTCATCACTAATGCATCCATAACTCTTTTATGATTCTCTTGTGTGTTTACAAATGTGACTCTGATGCCATGATTCACTAAGCATTGAGATAGCTCCATTAAAGGAAGTACATGGCCTTGTGCCGGAAAAGGTATAACCAATACATGAGGATTTCCCATTTGGTTCTCTCTTTTCTTCACAATTCAAGAATACTGCTGAAGTATATTATTAGGGTCTGTTGATCAAACAGATTGTCCAATTTAGAAAATCTAAGTTCTAAAGAACCAAACATTCAAGCAAGATAGAGATATAAAGAAAAATAAAAGCATAAACAATAAAGAGCATACACACAGATTTTAGTGGTTCGGTAATCAGATTGATTACCTACATCCACTCTTCAGGCAGTATAGAAACATACACTATGAAGAGAAATCTTACAGAGTTGTGGAGTCAGTTTTACACCACCCAGTGACAACTCCCCTCTGTAAATCACCTAGATTGCTCCCAGTGTTCTCACACCTCTCACGCACCAAAAATACATAGAATAATCAGAATTTATACAAGAGGAAAAAAGGAATAAAATCAGCTCAAAGAAACTCATCACCATCGTTGATCTCATCCTGCGAATACCAAGGCTCCACTTAATGATTCCCTAAACAACTTCTCTCTTTGTAACAAGAAGAGAACAATCCAGAGAGCAAAATGAAAGTGTCGAGATAAGCACAACATATCCCAAATGAAATTACAAACTTAAATCAATGCCACATCAGCACAAACTGCTAGAAAATACTCATAGTCTTTGTAGTTTCATATTGGCTACATATGGACGGCGACCTGGCACTAGCAAGGAGTTTTTTGTAACTAAATCGTTGTTCAATGGTCATTTCATTCTTAGATTTGCTAAAGACATGGAGATAAATTTAGTGAATCCAGAAAAATGAACTTGTGAAGGGATTCTTTATTATTTATGATATGAAGCAGCAAATGGGAGGATGCCCAGAACCTTTTGCCCCAGCTAACTGTACGGCCGTTTCAGTTCACAGTATCAGTCACCGTTGACCAGCTCACCTACTTGCGGGGGGGAATACGAATACCTTCATCGTCCAGATTTTTACAAACCCATCAAGTCTCAGTATCATGACCCAGATCATCAAGACGGGCGGCCCAAGAGGTAGGTAGTGAGGCATGCGGCCCATAAAAATAAGGTCGAAAATGACCAATTTTTTTTTAATATATTACAAAAATAAAAATAATGTTATAATTCTTATTCAAGCTGCCCAAGGGCCTTAAAAAAAAAGCCAAAAAACCTAAATTTATTATAAACAAAAAGTGAGCTTATTTCTTTCGTAACATATAAGATTGAAAATTTTGAATTTTATTCAGCATGTTTAGTATGAATGTATTTCTGTTAATATGCTTAGTAAATATTTACAATATAAAAATATGGACATTGTTGTGTAATATCAATTGAAAGGTCTTGTTTTATTTTTTGAAAATAAGAAAAATGGGGTTTACATTTTCTATGATTTCTATTAAAGAATTGCAAAGCAAATGAATATAAAATCAAAATTTGTGAAAAAATACAATAAGAGAAAAAAAACAATTTGATGAGAATGAAAACGAAAAGATAAAATTGTTAGTTGAAGATCTTTTTAGAAAAATTATTTCACATATTTAGTTGATCATGTCATTTCCTCACTTCAAAGTTGGTTTCAATAATTTGAAATATATAAGATAATTTAGTTTCTATAATATAGAAAAGTTAAAATTGTTGATGATTAATTTGAGGTATTTAAAAAAATTTAAATCTTGAAATTTTTTAAAATACGACATGTTCTTTGATATTGATGGTTTAGATTTATATTTAGAATTAAAAGTTTAATAGAAATTAAACGTGAAAATTAAATACAATACTAGATATATAAAAAAGAGGAATTCTTTTTCAAAGGCATGGATAACTTACGAATACTATAACTATTCTTCTTATTATAGTTTTAGAAGTTTTTCAAAAAAGTTAAAAATTTTATTACGTTCAACAATATCACAAGAAATATTAGATAATTTATCTAATTATTGATAGAAAAAGAATAAAAGATTTGATTTTTAAACTAAATACAAAAATTTAATTAATGATTTTGTATTTAAAAACAAAAAAAAACAAAATAATTGAATAATTTTTAATTATATACTACTATAAAAGCAGACGGTAAGTACGCCTAATCATTCATGACAAGTTATTGGCCAACCTATATCTTGCATAAATACCTTAAAATGAGAACATTATCGATATCTTTACAGTGCCAGTACGCATTAACACTGTAACTGTCATGACAGACACTGCGCTGTCGTAATAACGCTGTAACTGTCATCACAGGGCCAGCGTCAATCGACGCTGTCGCTGTGGTGACAGTGCCAGTAACAATTGACGCTGTAACTGTCATGACAGTGCCCAGAGTCACAAATTGACACTGTCGCTCGTTAACAGTACCAGCAAGTATTTAACACTGTAACTGCCAGGACAGTTCCAGCACAAAAAATAATCACTGTCTCTGTCTTAACAGTGCCAGCAGATAATTATTCTGTAACTGTCATGACAGGGCCAGCGGCTAATCAACCCTGTCGCTGTGGCGACAGTGCCAGCACGTAAATACTCTGTTACTGTCATGACAGCACTAGCGCGAAATACACACTGTCGCTGCTAAACAGCGCCAGTGTGAAATAGACTTTACCGTTGTCATGGAGAGCGCAGCGCGGAATTGATGCTTGCTGTCTTGACAGTGGTAGTGCGACTGTGCGAGAGAGGATAGGGCGCTGCTGACGTAATCTCCGACGACTCTAGTAGTGAAACAGACACAAGATGAATCTGATTATCATTCTCATTCATTCGCCTGATCTCTCCCTTGATGTTATGTAAGATCCCCCAATTAAGCAGGTTCCTATAATTTCTCCCTGCCTGAAATCAAGCTTGTCCTCAAGGTGGAAAAGGGAAATGATTTTGGAATCATTCCCAAATCTTCTCTTGTAACATCATCAGGGAAAAGCTGGATCATTGTATGAGAACTTGAGTGATAGCATGGTGGTTGCGTTGTACCATCCTTCAATCCAAAATGGCTACTGGTTCAAGTTTAGTTATCCTTCTTCAGTTACTGATGACAATTCTCTAGACAACAACATTATCACCCATATTTCTTCATAAAGAAACGTGAAAACCGGATGAATGCGTGAAGATGACGGCATTCAGTTAGGGCCACCTTCCTACTCCATGAACAAATTGAAATGGACCAAATACTGTGGTGCCACATTTTAAATTTCTTCGAAGCCGCAAATAAACCCTATCTCCCTCTTGAACTCACGATCCGTATGGTGTCATAAGCTAGCTGCTTCATTCGATGTTGAGCTTGCTGCAAATTTTCTTTCAGTACTTGAATCATCGATCGCATCTCCGCTGCCTTAGCCTGATCAAGTTTTGCAATCGAGGAGTCACCTAAAGTAATGAATTTGAGAAGAAGGTGGCTTCCCATATAATACTTCATAAGGAGTGGTCTTAATGGCTGAATGATAAGGGTATTATACACCATTCGCAAGTGGAGCCTTTGGCCCATTGCTTGGGTTTGTTACAGTCCTGCACTTAAGTAATTTCAAGTGCAGCGATTTACCACTTCTGTCTGGGCATCAGTTTGGGATAGTATGCAGAACTTAATTGAAGCTTAGTCCCTTGTAATCGATGAAAGTTCTTGCCAAAACGCACTAGTGATCCTCTTATCCTGCACTAACAATTGAGATGGCAACCTATGTAACTTAAAGATATATTAAAAGATAATCTGCTACACCAATGGCCATATAAGGATGTGATAATCGAACGAGAAGTGAGCATATTAGTGAATCTATCTACCACCACAAAGATAACTTCCTTCTATGGAATTTGGTTAACATTACAAAAAGTCCACTGATATATTTGCCATACAATGAGTCGGAATAAGCAATGGCTGCAATAACCAGCGTTGTGCTACAGTTTCTTATTTGTTTGGTTGGCACACGTCTACTCTAAACCCTAACAAAATTACTAAAATAATAAAACAGTAATAAAATGTTAAATCGTAGAGCAATATAGACGTGTGATATTACAGATTTTCGCAACACGAAGAATATGGTTGAACAATGTGTGATGACTTATTTATGCCTTCAGCCATTCAACAAAAATCTTGAAATTATTGTAGGAGCTTCCACCTTCTTTGAGCTATTCAGCACTTTCTTGAGATCCAAAAAATTTGCTTTATACTACTATTATCCAGGAGTTCTTCCAGTTTAGTTTTGATTCTTCCCGTGTAATTATCCCACTTTCATCTTTGCTTAACCCCAATCAATCCTCAAATGTACAGATGTAGTTTCATTGTGCATCTGGTCACCGAAGTAAGGCCAACTAAGAACGGGACCCCATTGCTAATACCTTCCATAGTGGAGTTCCATCCGCAGGGACTTATGAAGCAGGCAATGGAAGGATGTGCCAAAACCTTCGTTGAGGCGCCAACTAACTATATGCCCTCGAGTTGCAATTCTGTCTTGAAATCCTTTGATAGCATCATTTATTGATCTGTAATATCAGGACGCACCACAAGAGGATGGTCTGTTGGAGAGTTCAAGTGCCATGCCTAATTCTTGGAACTGGGTTCTGTCAAGAAGAGTTGTATGCCAAATGCAACATATATGACTGACTGTGGTTGCTGTTGATCAAGCCATTTCAAACAAGTTATGTCCTCTTGCCAGAAGCTTCCTGCTGTGTCTCCCAATCGATTGTTGCCAAAAGTGGGCCTATAGGACACTTTTGTCAAACTTAAATGTTGCAGGCTCAAGGTCATAAGTTGAATTGCAAAGCATCCATTCTGGTAGTCTGATGATCGGTTGTTTTCTAACCAAATTTTGAAATAAGAGTTTCTGCATTTTTTTCTTTAAGTCTGTACATGCTATGTGTGCTGTTATGGTGACCGGCATGGTTGTGACAACTGTGAAACATCTCTTTCTTTGGAGTTCCTGGAAAGGAAATCAAATCACATCAGCATGGCTCTATCAATTGTTAACATCTTGTTTCAAGTCCAAACTAATATTCATATTTTCAGTCTTGGATCGAGCAGAATGGTTGAAAAAGACTGTATAGCCTACTTCAACTAGATGAAAGCTATAAATCCTAATTGAGTTTGAATTACATGTTTATGATTCAGCTGGAAGTTCAAAGAAGACACAGAACATAATAAATTCTTGGATTAAATCTAAAGCATATCATTCAAGCCTTGTCTTTACATGCTTTTACCAAATCCTGTGTGATGCCTAATTTATGGTGTGTATCTGCTGTGTCAAGCAATCAGAAACTGTCAGTTTTTCAGACCTACCTGTATTTGTGCCAAATCTCTTGGAAATTCTTATGACTGCATATGATCTAGAACTATAAACATATATTTTCAATATGGCATCAGTTTTCTGTGGATGAAAATGATAGTTTCATACTCTTGGATCATATCAAATTATACTGCTATTAACTTGCAAAGTGACACATGATTACCATCTTCATCAATAATTCGTCATCAATCAACTTTTCGATGCCAGATCTTAACCATTGTGGTGGCTGAAGCAAATAGAAGGCGGGCGCTGATTCTTTTCTCCACTGCAATTTCCATGGCCCATTTAAGAATGGGATCTGCCCGAATACAGGTAATCTTATCACCATCTGATGCATTAATCTTTTCGATCAGCTCTCCAACTTTTCTTGGCATAAGCCAGAGACTACTTCTACAAGTTTCTCTGTTATTGACCTGAAATCTCTGGAGACTCGAGTCCTAGTGGGAACCGATACAAGATGAATTGATTCCCTACACCATCCTTCATTGCCAATGCATCCGTAACCTGCTTATGTTTATCATCTGTGTTTACAAATGTAATTCTGAGCCGTGGTTCACCCAAGCATTGAGACAGCTCCATTAAAGGAATTACATGGCCTTGTGCTGGAAAAGGTATAACCAAAACATGTGGGTTTCCATGTTTTTTCAATCTTTTCCGGAGACTAAGATTACTGTTGCTCTATTATAGTTATAGGGCAATCTGCCTTATCATTTACTCAACAATTTCCATTTGGTTCAATCTTTCCGGAGACTCAAGATTACTGTTGCTCTATTATAGTTATAGGGCAATCTGCCTTAACTTACTCAATAATTTGTAGCCTCATAGTGGCTTTCAAGTGGGCCCGATCCTTGGAATCAAGCTAGGACTTTATTAAAAGAAAAACCCCTTCACATGGGAATTTATTATTACAACTTGCTAAAAAAGACATGGAGATAAATGACAATTCAAGCATTAAAATCAACCTTGTGAAGTATCTCTCATACTGTTTGCTTTTCTAGTATGCTTTATTTATTAGTACTCTAAGTGATGCTTTGTATATTTTGGAGCATTGTACAATCATTAATATAATAGATTACTACAACAAAAAGAAAATATTATATTTAATAGTTTGGAATTACCTCTTTCTGCCTTCAGCCATTCAACAAAATTCTTGAAATTATTGTAGGAGCTTCCACCTTCTTTGATGCTATTCAGCACCCTTTCCTTGAGATCCAAAACATTTGCTTTATACTTACTATTATCCAGGAGTTCTTCCAGTTTAGTTTTGATTTCTTCCCGTGTAATTATCCCACTTTCATCTTTGCTTAACCCCAATCCAATCCTCCAAATGTTACAGATGTAGTTTTCATTGTGCATCTGGTCACCGAAGTAAGGCCAACATAAGAACGGGACCCCATTGCTAATACCTTCCATGGTGGAGTTCCATCCGCAGTGACTTATGAAGCAGGCAATGGAAGGATGTGCCAAAAGCTTCTGTTGAGGCGCCCAACTAACTATATGCCCTCGAGTTGCAATTCTGTCTTGAAATCCTTTCTGATAGGCATCATTTATTTTATCTGTAATATCAGGACGCACCACCAAAAGGAATGGTCTGTTGGAGAGTTCAAGTGCCATGGCTAATTCTTGGAACTGGGTTCTGTCAAGAAGAGTTGTACTGCCAAATGCAACATATATGACTGACTGTGGTTGCTGTTGATCAAGCCATTTCAAACAAGTTAAGTCCTCTTGCCAGAAGCTTCCTGCTGTGTCTCCCAATCGATTGCTTGCCAAAAGTGGGCCTATAGGTATGAACTTTGGATCAAACTCAAATACTGCAGGCTCAAGGTCATAAGTTGAATTGCAAAGCACCCATTCTGCCAATTCAAATGATTGGCTGTTTCTCACCGAAGTTTGAAAGAAGAGTTTCTGCAATTTCGTGTTGCCAAGGCCAACAAATGCTATGTGTGCTGTTTTCATGACTGGCATGGTTGGTGACAACTGAAACATCTCTTTCTTTGGAGTTCCTGGAAAGGAAACCAAATCACAATCAAGAATGGCTCTATCAGCTGTTAACATCTTTGCCCTTGATTCCAAACTAATATTCATCTTGTATTTACATGCTTTATTAACAAATCCTGTGTGATGTCTTAATTTAATGTTGCTGGATCTACTGTGCCAAGTTCATCTTGTGAAATTCCTCTAACAGCATATGATCTAGAACTATAAAACATTTGTTTGTTTATATATTCAGTTATGCATTAATTTTCCCTTGGATGAAAATAATCAAGGAAGTTTCATCTATTAGCATCCAATCAAATTATACTGCTATTAACTTACAAGAGTAAGTGACAGATGATCTTACCATCATTATCAATAATTCCGTCATCAATCAACTTTTGGTTGCGGGCTCTGAAGACCAGTTGTGTGGCTGAAGCACAATAGAAGGCGGCTCGCTTGATTCTTTTCTCCATTGCAATTTCCATGGCCCATTTAAGAAGGGGATCTGCCAGAACACAGGTGATTTTATCACCATCTGATGCATTAATCTGTTCCATCAGCTCCTCAACTTTTTTCGGCATAACCCTTGAGACTACTTCAACAAGTTTCTCTGTTACTTGACCTGAAATCTCTGGAGAATGTAGTCCTAGTGGAACCGAAACAAGTTGAATCTGATTCCCTACACCATCCTTCATTGCCAATGCATCCATTAGCTGCTTATGTTTATCATCTGGGTTTACAAATGTAATTCTAATGCCGTGTTTCACTAAGCATTGAGACAGCTCCATTAAAGGAATTACATGGCCTTGTGCTGGAAAAGGTATAGCCAAAACATGTGGATTTCCCATTTGGTTCTTTCTTTTCTGGAGATTCAAGAATACTTTGCTCTATTATAGTTATAGGGCAGCTTGCCGGAGCATTTACTCAATAATTTGTAGCTTCATAGTGGCTTTCACGTGGGCCCGATCCTTGGAATCAAGCTAGGAGTTTATTAAAAGAAAAATCCTGCTTCACATGGGAATTTATTATTACAACTTGCAAAAAAAGACATGGAGATAAATGATAATTCAAGCATTTAAAATATCAGGAATGAAGACAAAGGATGAACTTTGACACAAAGTCCAAACATGTGAAGTGTCTTGCATATTGTTTGCTATCGTAGTATTCTTCTTTTATGGGTTCTTCCAAGTGATGTTTCTTTTTTTCATTTTGTGAACATTGTACCATCACTAATAAAATAAAGAGTACGAGGATACTGACGCAGCGAGTTAACGTGAATAAACAAGGATAACACTCGACTACACCTTTAGAACTAATAAACAAGTCTTAATCCAGAAACTTAAATTGTGAAATCTGAAGAAAAATCTTAATAATGCATTGAATGGTCTCCAAAACGAAAAATAAGTTTATATAAGGTGACAACTAACCCTAATAAGACTCCTAATAATAAAAGGAAACAAAAACTAAATCAATTAGAACAAGAAAATCCGAAATAAAATAGGAAAAAATGTGCAAATAACTAAAACAGCCCCGAAACACGCCAAAACGGTAGATTTTGACCTCGAAAATGACCTCCAACTGACTAAATTTCGTCAACCGGCTCGAAATAAGTTTTTCAACGATATCTTACAGGCTCTGTAACTCTTCCCGAATCAAAAGTTATGGCCGTTTGAATGGAGCATATTCATTTAAGCCCTTTGGGCTTTACGCATGGACTTCTAATGTTCAGCCCGCTCTATAAATTCATCTGCCAGACATTCTACGTCAGAAACAGATTATTTGTTGCAGATTTTTGCAACCAGAAGGATATGATAGAAAAATTAAATGCTGCAGGCTCAAGGTCATGAGTTAAATTGCAGAGCACCCACTCTGCCAAATTTATTGATGGGTTGTTTCTTACAATATTCTCAAGCATGATAAATCCTATGTGAGCTGTGCTCATGACAGGCATGGTTGGTGACAACTGAAACATCTCTTTCTTTGAAGTTCCTGGAAAGGAAATCAAAATCAGAATCAATCAAAGCACTACCAACTGTTCACATGTTTAAGTCCAAAGAAAATATATCTTATGGTTCTTGGAAAGAATAGAATGGTGGCAAAAGACTTTTGCAGCTGACTTCAATGAACTAGGTGGAAACTAAAGCCTTTATAATTCAGCTGGAAGTCCTTAAAAGATACAGAATTTCTAATTATCATTTTTTGAATTTCTGCAAAATCTTTTGGGAAATTCCTATAGTTTAATTTTATTTAACCTAAATAAATATGATTAAGGAAGTCTGATGTATTAGTAAAATTTAATATAATACTACTGTACAATTTGCAAGAGTGAGTAACAGATTATCTTACCATCATCATCAATAATTCCTTCATCAATCAAATTTTGGATGCTAGGTCTTTAGACCAGTTGTGTGGCTGCAGCACAATGGTTCGCCTGATTTTCTTCTCTTCTGCTATTTCCAGGACCAAGTAAGAAGGGGATCAGCCAGAACACAAGTGACTTTATCATTATCTGATGCATTAATTTCCTCAATGAGCTCCTCAACTTTTCTCTGCGTAATCCTTGAGACTGCTTCAAGAAGCTGTTCTGGTTGACTCTATAATATCTGGAGATTCCAGTCTCAGCGCAACCGAAACAAGATGAATCTGATTCCGTTTATCATCCTTCATCGCCAATGCATTCACAATCCGCTTACGGTTATCATCTGTGTTTACAAATGTAACTCTTATGCCATGTTCCACTAATCTTTGTGACAGCTCCATAAGAGGTATTAACATGGCCTTGTGATGGAAAAGGTATAGCCAAAACATGAGGATTTCCCATGTTGGTTTTTCTTTTGCTCTGCAAATTCTTTTTCTGGAGTGTTATCACTTTCTTAGGGATAAAGTAAAGAAAAAAAAAAGCATATTTTGAAGATACTGTTACATTGTCCCCATTCAATTCATCTTTACTGTACTTTTCACTCTGAGATTTACTTCATCTAAAATATGGGACCAAAGTTCTGTGGCTTCTCAAGATTTTATGTCAACTGTATAACAAACATTTTATATATAGCTTTTGTAACTCAAGTTAGAAAAAATGACAAGAATTGAAAACATTTAATTTTGGTTGAAAATTGTAAAACAATCTTTTTCTTGAACTAATTTAATAAATTCTGATGCAATCTCAAACCTGACATTAGAAGTTGTAGATGCACCAGGTACCTAATTTGTTGTTTCTAAATGGCTTTTCCTTCTATCATATGAAGCCTATTCAAGTCGGATTTTATTTTATTTTTCTGAAAACTTTAAATATTTTTTTCTGCAGAATATGCACATTGCATAATAAGATTCAACAAATCTCAAGTTATCCATGGCTACCTGCAGATTTTATATGTCTTGGTTTTTGTAAAGACAGAAAACCATAACTAAAACTTCCAACAGCTCCTTAACTGGGACACTAAATTATTTTCATCACTCCATGTACATAGCTGCACACATAATTAACTATCAGAACATAATATTCATTATGTAGCTTTTTAAACATTAATCATGGACATGGACCCTAGAATATTTCGAAATTACCGACTTAATGATTATCATAATCCTGAACTACAATTTTCGGATCCTTTTGATTAAGCTTTATTATGGGTAACATTCACTTACCTCCAAAGAGGGTTGAATTTGAGCATATACTGAACAATTACCTATTCGGATAAGAAATCTTTCATAACAGAAAATCAAAGGAAAAGGTTCCTCGTAGCCAGACTGTTATTGAAGTTTGAACAATTCATGATGACCTTACTTATGCCTTAAGCCATTCAACGAAATGCTTAAAATTATTGTAAGAGCCCCCACCTTCTTTGATGCTATTCATCACCCTTTCCTTGAGATTTATAGCATTTGCTTTATACTCTCCATTGTCCAGCAGTTCCTCCACTTTATTTTTAATTTCTTCATGTGTAATTTTCCCTTTTTCGTTTTGGTTGAACCCCAATCCGACCTTCCAAACATTGCAAATATAGTTCTCATTGTGGAACTGGTCTGCATAATAAGGCCAACACAAGAAAGGGATTCCATTGCTTACACCTTCCATTGTGGAGTTCCATCCACAGTGACTTAAGAAACAAGCAATGGAAGGATGCCCCAGAACCTTTTGTTGTGGTGCCCAACTGATTATCCGCCCACGAGTTGAAACCCTTTCTTGAAATCCTTTTAGATAGGCTTCATTTATCCCTTCTGTAATACCAGGACGTACAGCCATGGCCAATTCAAGAATTGAGTTCTGTCAAAAGTAGTTGATCTGCCAAATGCTATGTATATGACTGATTGTGATGGCTGTTGATCAAGCCATTCCAAACAAGTGAAGTCTTCTGGCAAGAAGCTTCCTGCCACGTCTCCAAATTGGTTGCTTGTCAAAAGTGGGCCTATTGGAGTGAACTTTGGATCAAAGTCAAAAGCTGCGGGCTTTAGGTCATAAGCTGAATTGCAAAGCACCCAATCTGCCAATTTTGTTGCTGGGTTGTTTGTAACCACATTTTCAAAATACAGTTTCTGCACTTTCAGGCTGCCAAGGCAGGTCCACCCTATGTGTGCTGTGCTCATGGCAGGCATGGTTGGTAACAACTGAAATACTTGCTTCTTTGTTGGAATTCCTGCAAAGAAACTCATAAGCATTACCAAGCATGATGCTATGAACGATTAACATCATTCACTTAAGGTTTAACTTTTCAAGTATTTATTTATTTTTCTGCAGTTGCACTTTGGTAAAAATGTGATGAAGGTTGATGCTGTGCTGGAAGTATGTTTTTGCTGTTGCTGAAAGTTTGAAGTTATCTTGCTGCTGCAAGATGGACGTGCATGGTGCCTCCCTCTGAAAATCCACGAATCCTATGGTGGTCATAAGCTAGCTGCTTCATTCGATGTTGAGCTTGCTGCAAATTTTTCTTTCAGTACTTGAATCATCGATCGCATCTCGCTGCCTTAAGCCTTGATCAAGTTTTGCAATCGAGAGATCACCACACGTAATGAATTTGAGAAGAAGGTGGCTTCCCATATAATACTTCATAAGGATGGTCTTAAGTGCTGAATGATAAGTGGTATTATCCACCATTCCGCAAGTGCGAGCCATTTGGCCCATTGCTTGGGTTTGTCTACAGTCATGCACTGTAAGTAATTTTCAAGGCAGCGATTTCCACTTCTGTCGGCCATCAGTTTGAGGATAGTATCAGAACTTATTGAAGCTTAGTCCCTTGTAATCTGAAAAGTTCTTGCCAAAACGCACTAGTGATCCTCTTATCCCTGTCACTAACAATTGAAGCTGGCAACCTATGTAACTTAAAGATATTATTAAAAGATAATCTAGCTACACAATGGCCATATAAGGATTGATAATCGAAAGAAGTGAGCATATTTAGTGAATCTATCTACCACCACAAAGATAACTTCCTTCCTATAGGAATTTGGTTACATTCAAAAAGTCCACTATATATTGTCCATACAGAGTCGGATAAGCAATGGCTGCAATAAACCAGGTGTGCTCAAGTTTCTTATTTGTTTGGTTGGCACAGTCTACTCTAAACCCTAAACAAATTTACTAAAATAATAAAACAGTAATAAAATGTTAAATCGTAGAGCAATATAGACGTGTGATTATTACAGATTTTCGCAACACGAAGAATATGGTTAAACTGTGTATGACCTTTTTTATGCCTTCAGCCATTCCCAAATTCTGAAATTATTGTAGGAGCTTCCACCTTCTTGTGCTTTCAGCCCCTTTCCTTGAGATCCAAAACATTTGCTTTATACTTACTATTATCCAGGTTCTTCCAGTTTAGTTTTGATTCTTCCCGTGTAATTATCCCACTTTCATCTTTGCTTAACCCAATCCAATCCTCCAAATGTTACAGATGTATTTTTCATGTGATCTGTCACCGAAGTAAGGCAACATAAAGAACGGA